TCAAATCTAGCTTCAGCAAAGGATGAACCATCAACAATAGCTGAACCAAAGTATAAAACTTCAACACTAGCTGCATCAGTGGATCAACCATCATCTATAGCTCTAGTAGAGGATCAACCATCATCTATATCTACAGCAGAAGATCAACCGTCAACTCTAGCTACAGCAGAGGATGAATCATTAAATCCAGCTACACTAGACAATAAACCATCAACTCTAGCTACAGCAAAGGATACACCATCAACTCTAGCTACAGCAGAGGATAAACCATCAACTCTGGCTACACTGGAGAATAAACCATCAACTCTAGCTACAGCAAAGGATACACCATCAACTCTGGCTACACTGGAGAATAAACCATCAACTCTAGCTACAGCAGAGGATGAACCACCAACTCTAGCTACACTGGAGAATAAACCATCAACTCTACCTAGAGTAGAGGATGAACCATCAAGACTAGCTACAGCTGTGGATCAACCACCAATTCTAGTTACAAATGAGAATAAACCATCTACTGTAACTATGATAGAGGTTGAAACATTGACTCAAGCTACAACAGAAAATCAACAATCAACTCTAGTTACAAAAGGGGATCATCCATCAATTCTAGCTACAGCAGAGGTTCAATCATCAATACTACCTACAGCAGACTATAAACAATCAACTCCAGCTACAATAGTGGATCAGCAATCAAATCTACACACAGCAGTGAATAAAACATTTGCTCTAGCTGCAAAAGAGGATCAATTAATTCTAGCTACATCAGAGTTTCAACTATTAAATCTAGCTACAGTACAGGATCAACCATCAACTCTAGCTACAAAACAGGATCAACCATCATCTCTAGCTATAGTAGAGGATCAACCATCAGCTCAAGCTACAAAAGTGGAACAACAATCCACCTTAGAACCATCAAATCTAGCTTTAACAAAGGATCAGCCATCAACTACAGCAGAGGATGAACCATTATCTCTAGATACAATAATGGACCAGCCATCACCTATATATCCAGAAGAGGATCAACCACCAATTCCAGCTACAATGGTGGTTCAGCAAACAAATCTAGCTATAGCAGTGAATGAAGCATCTACTCTAGCTACAAAAGGGGATATACCATCTATCATAACTACAAAAGAAAATCAACCATCAAGTCTAGCTATGGCAGATGATCAGTCATCAACTCAAGCTACAGGGGAGGATAAATCATCAAATCTTACTAAACAAGAGGATCAGTCATCAACTCTAGCTACATCAGAGAATCAACCATCAATTTTAGCTACAACAGAGGATCAAACATCAAATCCACCTTCAGCGGAGGATCAACCATCACCTCTAGCTACAACAGTGGATCACTTATCCATACAAGCCATAGTAGAGGATCAACTGTCAACTCTAGCTCCAAGAGAGGATGAACCAAGAACACTAGCTACGGCAGATGTTCACACACCACATTTGGCTACAAAAGTATCTTCAAATCTAGCTTTATCTCTAGACCCAATAGGGAACCAGTCATTAACTTTTGCTACAGATGTAGATCAACCATCAACTCTATATCCAGAAGAGGATCATCCATCAATTCTAGCTGCAATGGTGGATAAGCAATCAAATCTAGCTATAGCAGTGAATGAAGCATCTACTCTGGCTACAAAAGATCAACCATTAAATCTAGCTACAGCAGATGATCAACCATCAACTCTATCTACAGCAGATCTAACTACAAAAGAGGATCAACCATCAACTGTAGCTACATCAGAAAATCGACCATCAATTTTAGCTACAACAGAGGATCAAACATCAAATCTAGCTACAGCAGAGCTTCAACCACCACCTCTAGCTACAGCAGATGATCAACTGTCAACCCTAGCTCAAAGAGAGGATGAACCAAGAATTCTAGCTAAAGCAGATATCCATACACCATATTTGGCTACAAAAGAGGATCAACCATCAAATCTAGCTAAATCAGATGATCAACCATCAACTCTAGCCACAGCAGAGAATCAATTATCCACACAAGTCATAGTAGAGGATCAACCATCATCTCTAACTAAAACAGAGGTTGAACCATTGACTCTAGCTACAACAGACAATCAGGCAACCATTCTGGCTAAAATAGAGGATCAATCATCAATTGTAGCGACAGCAGAGCTTCAGCTAAAAAATCTAGCTACAGCAGAGGATAGATCATTAAATCTATCTACAGTAGAGGATCAACTTTCAATTCTAGCTACACCAGAGGATCAACCATCATCTCTAGCTACAGCACAAGATAAGTCATCAAATCTAGCAACAGCAGAGGGTAAACTATCTAATCTAGCTACAGTAGTAGATCAGCCATCAACAATATCTACATCAGAGGATCAGTCACCAACTCTAGCTCCTGCAGAGGATCAACCATCAACTCTAGCTACAACACAAGATAAGTCATCAAATCTAGCAACAGCAGAGGGTAAACCATCTAATCTAGCTACAGTAGTGGATCAGCCATCAACTCTATCTACATCAAAGGATCAGTCACCAACTCTAGCTCCTGCAGAGGATCAACCATCAACTCTAGCTACAGCACAAGATAAGTCATCAAATCTAGCAACAGCAGAGGGTAATCCATCTAATCTAGCTACAGTAGTGGATCAGCCATCAACTCTATCTACATCAAAGGATCAGTCACCAACTCTAGCTCCTGCAGAGGATCAACCATCAACTCTAGCTACAGCACAAGATAAGTCATCAAATCTAGCAACAGCAGAGGGTAAACCATCTAATCTAGCTACAGTAGTGGATCAGCCATCAACTCTATCTACATCAAAGGATCAGTCACCAACTCTAGCTCCTGCAGAGGATCAACCATCAACTCTATCTACATCACAAGATAAGTCATCAAATCTAGCAACAGCAGAGGGTAAACCATCTAATCTAGCTACAGTAGTGGATCAGCCATCAACTCTATCTACATCAAAGGATCAGTCACCAACTCTAGCTCCTGCAGAGGATCAACCATCAACTCTAGCTACAGCACAAGATAAGTCATCAAATCTAGCAACAGCAGAGGGTAAACCATCTAATCTAGCTACAGTAGTGGATCAGCCATCAGCTCTATCTACATCAAAGGATCAGTCACCAACTCTAGCTCCTGCAGAGGATCAACCATCAACTCTAGCTACATCACAAGATAAGTCATCAAATCTAGCAACAGCAGAGGGTAAACCATCAACTCTAGCTACAATGAATGATAAATCGTCAAATCTAGCAACGGCAAAGAATAAATCATGGAATCTAGCTATAGCAGACAATCAATCATCAACTTTTGCTTCAGCAGAGGATAAATCATCAATTCTCCCTACAGCAGAGAATGAACCATCAACTCTAGCTACAACAAAGAGTCAACCATCAATTTTAGCTACAAAAGCTACAGCAGAGGATCAACTATCAACTCCAGCTACAACAGTTATACAACCATCAAATCTACCTTTAGCAAAGGATCAACTATCAACTTTAGCTACAGCTGAGAATGATTTATTAAGTCTTGCTACAGTAGAGACTCGACAATTGAAACCTGTTACAGCAGAGGATCAGCCATCAACCCTAGCTCTAAGAGAGATTGAACCATCAACTTTCGCTACTGCAGAGGATGAACTATCAATTCTATCAACATTAAAGGGTCAACCATCTCATCTAGCTACAGTAGAAGATCAACCATCAACACTAGCTGCAGCAGAGGATCAACCATCAACTTTAGCTACTGCAGATGTTCAACCAACGAATTTGGCTACAAAGGAGGATCAACCATCAACTTTAGCTACATTAGAGGATCAACTATCAACCCTAGTTAGAGCAAAGGATCAATCATCAAATCTAGCTACAGCAGAGGATCGACCATTAATTCTAGCTACAGCAGAGGATAAATCATCAACTCTAGCTACAAAAGAGGAACAACCATCAGTTCTAGCTACAGTAGAGGAGCAATCATCAACTCAAGCTACCAAAGAGCATCAACAATCAACTCTAGTTATAGCAATTGATCAACCACCTACTTTAGCTGCAACAGATGATCAACCATCAAACCTAGCCTCATCAGAGGATCAACTACCTACTCTAGCTATAACAGATGATCTACCATCAAACCTAGCCTCATCAGAGGATCAACTACCTACTCTAGCTATAACAGAGGATCAACCATCAAACCTAGCCTCATCAGAGGATCAACTACCTACTCTAGCTATAACAGAGGATCAACCATCAAATCTAGCTACAGCAGATGATTATCCATCAGCTTTATCTACAGTAGAAAACAAACCATCAATGCCATCTACAGCAGAGAATAAACCATTGAATCTAGCTACAAAAGAGGATCAACCATACATTGAATCTGCAGCAGAGGATAATTCATATTATTTTGCTATAACAGAAGATCAGTCTTCAACTTTCACTACAGCAGAGGATAACCCATCGAATCTAGCTACTAAAGAGGATCAAACATTTGTTGAATCTACAGCAGACGACAAATCATCCAATTTTGCTACAACAGAAGATAAACCATCAACTCTAGTTATAATAGGGGATAAGCTGTCAAATCAAGCTATAACAAATGATAAACCATTAACTCTAGCTACAGTGAAGGATAAATCATTGACTCTAGCTACAGCAGAGGATACACTAACAACTATAGCTACAGAAGAGGGTCAACCATCAACTCTAGCTACAGTGAAGGATAAATCATCAACACCAGTTACAGCAGGAGATGCACTAACAACTCTAGTTACACCAGAGAATAAAACATCTAATCTACCTATAGTAGAGGATCAGCCATCAATTCAAGCTGCAGCAGATGATCAACTGTCAACCCTAGCTCAAAGAGAGGATGAACCAAGAACACTAGCTACAGCAGATGGTCAACCACCAACTCTACCTACAGTGAAGGATAAATCATCAAATCTAGCAACAGCAAAGCATAAACCATTGAATCTAGCTATAGCAGACAATCAAACATCAAATCTAGCTACAGCAGAGAATAAATTATTAATTTCCCCTTCAGCAGAGAACGAACCATCAACTCTTGCATCAACAAAGAGTCAACCATCAATTTTAGCTACAAAGGCTACAGCAGTGGATCAACCATCATATCTAGCTACAAATGGAGAGGATCATTCATCAAATCTAGCTACAGCAGAGGATCAGTCATTAACTTTAGTTATTGCAGAGGTTGATCCATTGACTCAATCTACCAAAGAGGATCGACCTCTAAATTTAGCTACAAGAGAGGATCGGCCATCAAATCTCGCTACATCAGTGGATCAACCATCATATCTAGCTACATTAGAGGATCAGCCATCAATTCTAGCTACATTAGAGGATCAACCATCGATTTCAGCTACAGCAGAAGATCATCCATCAACTCTAGCTATGACAGAGGTTTATCCATTTGCTCTAGTTACAAACAAAAATCAACCATCAATTGTAGCTACTCAAGAAAATCAGCCACCAAATCTAGTTACAGCAGAGGGTGAACCTTCAGCTCTAGTTACCACAGAGAAGCAACCATCAAGTCTAGCAACACAAGAGGATCAACCATCAATTCAAGCTACAGAAGAGGTTCAACCATCAATTCTCGCTAAAAAAGAGGATGTTCCATCAATTCTAGGCACAGCAGAAGTTAAACCATCAATTCTAGCTACAGCAGATGATCAACCATCAACTCTAGGTACAGGAGAGGATCAGCCATTAATTCAAGCTAAAGCAGAGAATAAACCACCAAATCTAGCTACTTCAAAAGATGTTCAACAATCAACTCTAGGTATAGTAGAGGATAAATCACCAACTCTAGCTACAGCAGATGATCTGCCATTAACTCGAGCTACAATAGAGAATGACCCATCAACTCTAGCTACAAAAGTGGACAAACCATTAAATCTAGCAACTGTAGATGTCCATCAATCAACCCTAGCTTCGGCAGAGGATCAGCCATCAAATCAAGCTGCAGCAGAGAATAAACTATCAAATCTAGCTTCAACAGAGGATAAACCATTAAAGCTAGTTACTCCAGATGTTCATCAATCAACCCTTGCTACAGCAGAGGACCAACCATTAACTCAATCCACAGTAGTGGATCAGCCATTCAATCAAGCTACAGCAGAGAATATACTATCAAATCTAGCGCTAATAGAGGATAAAGCATCAAAACTAGTCACCCCAGATATTCAACAATCAGCCCTTGCTACAGCAGAGGACCAACTATCACATCAAGCTACAGCAGAGAATAAACCATCAGATCTAGCTACCTCAGATATTCAACAACCAACCCTAGCTACATCAGAGGATAAATCATCTAGGACAGATGTTGAACCATTGACTCTAGCTACAGCAGAGAATTGTTCATCAAGTCTAGCTCCAAAAGAGGATAAACTGTCAATCCCAGCTGCAACACAGGATCAACCATCTACTCTAGCTATAACAAAGGTTGAACCATTAACTCTAGCTACAACAGGGAAGCAATCGTCAAATCTAGCTACTACAGAGGATCAACCTTCTACTCTTGGTATAACAGAGACTAAACCATTTATTCTTGCTACAAAAGAGGATCAACCGATTCCAGCTACAATAGACAACACTTTGTCAACTACAACAGAAGACAAACTATCAATTCTAGCTACAGCAGAGGATCAACCATCGAAATTAGCTATGACAGAAGTTGGACCATCGACTCTAGATACAAAAGAGGAGAAATCATCAATTTTAGCTACAGCAGAGGATCAACCAACTGTGCTAGCTGCATCAATGGATGGACCCTCAACTCCTGTAGCTGTAGCAAAAAATAGGCCAGCACATGGCAATGTAGCAAATGCTTCTCCATTCAACATTGAGCTTATGGAGAATTTTAAAAGAACTAATATAAAGGCAGATATAAATAAACCACCCAGCAGCCTTTTGAGATCTCCCATGTCACCAAGATTTATGTCTACAAATTCAAAGATATCATCAAGGACAGATGGCATATCTTCACAAACAGGTGTATCCATCAGAAACATCGGAAATAGGAGCTCTGGTAGTCAAACAGAAAGATCATATCATGGTGTAGGAATGCAAACAGATGCTTTACCATCATTGTCAATGGTTACACAGACTGCTAGGGTAGCAACGAAGGATGCTAACACTGGGCCACTATCTCCTGTTGTGCCTAGAAAGACAACACATGAGATTGCAGTTGGGCCTGATAACCAAAGCAGTAACAACAAAACCAATGGAGTAAACACAGCTACTCAAAGTTCTAAGTACCTTAAATCTCAAAACAAAGCCTTGGTTAGTGGCACTTGCCAAACTGATGGGGATGAACACAATGTTATTGTAGATAGCAATGACACTGTAAGTGATATCTCCCACCAAGATAGTGATCTTAGTTTTGAGTACATTGTACCACCACTTAGAAGATCACAAAGCCTTGTTGAACTGGGTCCAATTGCAGATGAAATTCAAAATGAAATGGATGAGCCAGTGGAGACATTGAGACCAGCTATAAGAGCTACACCAATGTTAAGAATTCGAAGTAGAAGCTTAGATGATATAAGACCAGTGTTTCATCCATCCATCTATGGTATCCTCAACCAGACATTTGGAACTCAGACTGGTGAGTCATTGTACAGCATTCTTAATGCCACAGAATCCATACAAACTGAAGCCTTCTTGGATATAATTGCCAGAGGAATGGAGACCCAAACTGGAGAATCTATGTTAGATCTATTGGACCCTGTTCTTGCAACGCAGACAACATTGATTGCAACACAGACTAGTTCTATGCAAACTGGTGAATCATTACTTGATATTTTAAATGGGACTGACCATGAGGACATGAGTTGTCAGACGGATGAATATATTGAGAAGATCCTACTGGATACAGCTGCAGATTTTGGTTTTTATTCTGAAAGACCACTATCAATGGCTGATGCCCAAACTGGAACATCTATGTGGTCTTTGGTAGGGTCTGACATGGATCTCGCATCTCCTGTTGGTTCTTTTCCATCCCCTGAGTTAGATGATGAGCTATCAGATGTTGAACCTGAAAATAAACTGGTATATCCAGAGAAGCGTAAACTTAAACAGCAGCGCAGGAAGATACCAAATCTAAATATTGATGTCAATTTAAATGTGGACTATGATTTGCACAATCCTAACTTAGATCCTTTGAAATTGGAGCATGAGAGAATGATGGAGATGCTGAGGAAATCAAAGCAAGAACGTGAGCAAAGGAAAAAAGATCGCCAACAAAAAAACATGACTTGGCCTCATCTTTTCAATAAATCTGACCAAAATGAATTGGATCTATCTACACAGTTAACTGGTTCATTAGAGCCTGTTGATACATCAGTGAGACCAGAAATGTTTGACACGATAGATCAATCAACAGACAACTCAACATCAATCAAAACCTCTGAGCAGTCTCTATCTGAACAATCTGATGTTTCTAAAAATGCTCAGCAACAGCATAGCTCAATGTCATCCTTATCTCTTGAACCTATTCAGGATAGAATCCTACTTGAACAGCTTGATGAATCCAGAAAAACAAATGAGGCCGAGGAAACACCAAACTTGGATATTGACATAAATGAGGAAGAGAAGAACCATATGGCTATATCATGTGACATTCAAGATGTTGGAGACCAGCAAAGCTTTGCATTTGAGCTATCACCAATTGTGCTTCAACCAAGAACTCACACAACTAGCTCACCAATCAGTGATGTCCTGTCTCAGACAGATGATGGGCCTATGAGTGTTGGGGATGATGGTGTGTTCTTTGAAACCATCAACCAGACATCCACTCCTTCAAAACCTCACTGTGCTACTCAATCTACAGGGGAGGAATTTCCTTCAAGTGACACACAGGCTCATGAGTCTAATCAGGTTGGGCTAGATGAAAATGGAAAATTGTTCACTAGTGCATTAAGTGCAAATAGTGCAGTACAAGCCAACATCTCATCTGATATCACTGATGACTTCACACAGACTGACCTCTGTGATATATCCCTGTCTCCTGGAAGTGACACACATTCTATAGCCATAGAGACCAGGCACCAGGAGCTGAATGATGAACTTGAGAAGCTGAGACGTGAACGAGAGCGCATCAACCATATGTTGGCTAAAGATGTCTGTCCCACTAAGGTCCAGGTTGAAGTAGCTGAAGCCCAGTTGAACTACATGATTGGGCAAACTGACACACTCCTTACCAGTGTTGGCTCAGATGATTCTGATGGAGGAAACCATAAGAAAACAGTTCATACTGAAGATCCAGCTGCTACCATAAGTAGACAGTATCTCCTCAAATACAAATCAAAGCTAGAAAAGGCCAAATCAGGTATCGATTCCAAGATTAAACAGCTTGAGAGAGAGAAACGTAAAGTTCTGCGTTCAAGGGAGAAATACAGGGAGATTGTTCAAATGAAACGCAAAGCTCAGATTGAGGCATTCAAATTTGAACGACAAAGGGAAGAGCATGCCCATAGATCACATAGTACTCTGACCCCCTTACACCTTGGATCACCTGAGTCGAGGTCCACATCACCTAGTGTGATGTCACCCAATAGGCATAAACAATACCTGCTGCAGCTGCGCAAAGATCTGGTGAATCTTAGTAAGGAAGATGATCAGAAGTCCTCTCCTAGACGGGTAGAGATGCTGGAACAGTCCTACAGACAACAGTACCTTGCTAGTAGGGGCAACAACCAACATAGGAGATCTCTAACTGAACCTGGAGACCAACAGTGTATGTCCCCCATATCTGATACATTGGATTCTGTAGCTAGCCCTAGGGTTGATGTTAACCATGAATACCGCATGATGGCACCTACTTCTAAAACATCATTTGATGCCTTGCTAAATCGAGATAGATCACCTGTTAAAGCCCCAAACAACACCCACATTAGCAGCTATATGGAACACTTATATGAGCTTTATCCAAACTCAAGATTACTATCTGACCATTCAACCAGTGCCAACTACCATGCACCACAAAGAGGGCTGTCTAACCATACAGTGACAGGAGAGACGCTGATTCAGTTATCCTCAAGAGCAACTAGAGGTGCTGTAAGCCCAGAGTGTGTTAACAGCTCAGCTGAGACTGGAAGTACAACTGGGTCTTTACATGATGAGCCAGTGGCATTGCTTAAAGAACTTCAGGTAAGATCTACCATATTATTACAGTGAAGGGAATAGTTAGCTTGTTTCTTAACATCATATAATTTATAAGAAGAAACCTTCATATGACAATGAAATGTGAATTTGAGAATACAAAATAAATAAGTAAATAGTAGAATGGGACCCCTCCTCTTGCTTCTTAGTGATTACCCTGGGTTTAATGCATGCACTCAGCTTTAGATGAGCTTTAGATTTAGATGAGCAGAAGGATATAACCAGAACACTTAAAAGAACTTCAGCAATTGATTCTCACATTTTTACATTGAACAATTACCGTCACAAATATCTTTCATTGTAGGATGCCAGAGAACACTCAAGGTCTGAGATAAGACAAGCAAGGCATAACCTTAGCCAGACACCACTAGAGAGACTAAGACGACACAGAGCTATGGAGGCTGGGTAGGATTCTGTAAAAGCAATCTAATTTAATGTAGTATACAAGTGGAATGTTGCAATCGCTGAGACACTTATTCCAAATTTATTCTAGCTTCATTATTTCATTCATAAAAAAATATTGTACCAAGAGACAAATATTGAATAACTGTGGTCATCGTTTCATTTGGGCACACCCTGTTAGTATATATAATAGTTCTTTGATCTTAGACTTGGATTATCATTCAAGTTCAACAAAATATCAGTAAGATTTTTTAAAAAGGTTCTTTTACATTGTATGTTATCCATTGTAGGAAACATGCTCCATTAGATGAGAGAATAGGTTCATACAGACAACAGACAAACAAAATAATGTCTAAGCTAAACCCAGAGCAAAGGCAGAGGTGGGCCAAGGTAAGCAACTTCCGTAATCCAATAGTTTTGTAACAAATAATGACATTGACAACTAATATCATTAGTGTTTAGCGTAGGCTTGCTTATCTGTAGTCTAAAATTCATTATCTATCCAAATTGAGGTAGACTTTAGACAGACTTACCAGTAGAAAAAATAAAAGTTGAGGTTTTGATCTAATTAAAAGAAGTAGAAAGGATAGAGAGTGTAAAATGTAGCACAAACAGTAACATGCCAATGTTTCCTTTAGCTTCCCTTAGAGGAAGGAATCAAATTGACATTGTAAAAGTGTGACAATTAATTTGAAAATTACTACTCAAGTCTTTAATGTAAAATACATGTACAGGGTGTCCCGAAAGTATGGGGGCCCCCAAGGTAGACATATACCAATGTCTCCATAGTATTTGTCATATATCATTTTAAGGCTCATTCAAAGTTACACTGATGTGCCAAATATCATGATTCAACTCACAAATGGGAAAAAGTTACAGATATTTCAAAATTTAAGGTTTAGCCAAAATTAAAGTCAGTTTTACACCAAAATAAATGTCGATTTGTCTCCCTAGGCCATGTTAACAGCAGCAATGCTTTCCATATATGACCTTAATTGCGCTTCAAATAGGGATGTGGCTTTTTGTAATCCTTATAAAACCTTTTTAAAGCATTTTAGAAGAGTTTCCTTGGAGTATATATGCCCAATGTCCTCTATTTTAACACAATATCCATCCTATCTTCGACAATAGCACCCATATTTTAGGACACATTCAGGTCAGGGCTGTTTCCAGGATACTGAATTGAACTATAATTTTGGCCAAATGCTACGTTTTGAAATGCCTGTAACTTTTTACCATTTATGAGTTGAACCATGATATTTGGCAAATCTATGTAACTTTGGATAAGCCTTAAAATGATATATGCCACATACCATGGAGACATTGGTATATGTCTGTCTAGGGGGGGGGCATACTTTTGGGACACCCTGTAGTAGGTAGAAGTGTTCTCATATAGTTCTAATTGCTTGTAGCTTATAAGAATTGGAGTATCTACAGTATGGCTCAATAAAAATGTAAGAATTATAAAAATCTTAATATTTTTCTTATGATTTTGGCAGTTACTCTATGATATACTCCTTGAAGTTCTTGAAGAGCAAACTCTCTTGATTAATTTGACACCATTGTTGACAATCTTATTAACTCTGACTTGCACCAAATTCTCAGCAGTTGAACATGCCATGCCTTTCCTGGACAGCATTCCAAGATTACAATACGGACAGAATGGTTTTGTATGTGTGGTGACAACAAGGTGACACTCACTCCTCACAGGTGAAGGGCTGTGTCTGAACTCTTTGGAAATTGGATAATAGTCCTGTGTAGTCAACCATGGAAGGATTATAAATCTGATGATGTCATATCTGGAGAGCTTGCTCTTTAAGAATTCAATTTGTATTTTAGGGTGCCAAAATTATAAAAGATTTTGTACTTGTAATATTTTTATTGAGACACTCTGTAATATAGATGGTTAAACTTCTTTAAGATTTATTTGATAAATTTGATAAATGTATGAAATATCTATAATTTATAGATAGTATATAATTGAACATATCTTTTTATTATCTCATATAGGATGCCATGGACAGCAAGCTATCCGATGTAAGGAACATATTCTTTTGGAAATGCATGCTGGATGCAAAGCTGTTTTAATTACATTTCTTTTGCCCAACTTTATTTCAGCTAATCTGATTACCAGCATGTCTTGCTTTTTTACTTCTGGAATACCCGGTTACCATATCTCGTCAATGTGTTCTTGTGTGTGTCTTGTCCTGTTGACAATGATCATGGGATGACTCATAACATGACCATAAAAACTCTAATTGTTTCTTTCACCATGAGGCTTCATTGCTGCTACAAAAGTAGAGTGCCCCTGAACTATGGATCCTTTAACCCTTATAACCCAACTTTTCTTAAGAGGCACCATTGTAATAAAATCCAATTACAATGGATTGTGTCCAATATGGAAAAATGAAATTAATTTCATTATGGTTTGTTTATGTCATGTAATAAAATTTTAAAATGTTCACTTTCACTTGTATATTAAATAAATATTATTATTTACCCTCTCTGAAAACAAAATAAACTTCATTCTTCCACAACTGTTTCATAATTGGACACCCTTATAAAATCAGTTGGATTTTACAATTTCTGCCTCCCTCCTATTGTCAATCCCATTTTGTAATTTTTAGATTTCATTCCTCTAATGCACAGCCTCAGAAAATGCCTCACACTGAAAAGATCCTCCAGATATTCAAATAGGGAGATTTTTCAATTGGCCATGTTTTCTTAGGGCTGTTTGTTAGCATGTACGGACCAATTAACCTATAGTCTCTTCATTCCTGGTGTTGGCTTGCATCTTGTATACTATGGTTAGATATAATTTTCTTTATTGAATAGGGCGAGTCTGACGGTTATTCCTCAACTGAGGAACTAGAGCAATATCTACCTGTAAGTAACATCCCTGGTGATGTCATGCTGTGTATATTGTCATATTGTGTTCTGTTATACTGGTTGTTGTTTAGATGGATACAATGTCATCCTGTGAATAATCCCATGCTATTTTCTTGTATGATGATAAACAGGTACTATTCATGATGTCATACTTTGCATTATTCCCATGGTGATGTCATCTGTAATGCAACCATAATTTTAGCTTTGCATGAGGTTCTGTGCACAAATAATGCATGTTAAGCCCCATTTACACTGACTGGTCTTTTTCACCTGACATTTTAAGTCCTCTAGAGACCAGTGATGACTGAAAGTCTCTTTTCATGATACCCCAATGTGTCCTGTCGAGTCTGGTTGAGAACGATCCGATGAAACCCCCTTTCAACAAAAAAGACTGGTGAAAGAATGGAACAGTTCATTCCACAAAATCTAATGGAGTCGGATGAAGACGGCTACAAAAAGAGTCTTTTTATCTGTTTGTAGCAGTCTTCATCCGACTTCACCAGACTCAATCGGATTTTTAAAAAGTCTTATCAAGACACTTGAAGTTTGACCTAAAAATCCTGTTAAGACCAGCAAAAGACTAGTGGTCTTTTGTTTCATTGGAAATACACAGGGGATCAAATAGACCGGTCAGTGTGAATGGGGCTTTAATATAACCCAGCCAATTGTTTACCAAATTAAATGCAAGAAGAAGTGTGACAAATAACATTGAAGAAAATTTTGGAAAAAGTTGATGATTTGATTTCACTTCCTTGTTAGTGTTTATATAACATGTTCATGTACAATTGCACTAGTCTTGGTTTGTGGTACACACATACTGTATGTAGATGCATGTTTTTTAGTGTTGCATTTTTTAATGTTATGTCCACATTGTCTAATGAATTGATAATCTTAAGTGATGAATTTGATATTACAGAATTTTGTTAATCATTGGTAAAATTATTTTGAATTTGTAACATATAAAACTCATGAATCAGAACTGAGCAATTAACAAATTTTTAGAAATATATTATACAATACGATGCTAAATTATTGTTAATTACTAACTCATATTATTATTCTTAGATAATTACTTCTGCCATATGTAAACGCAAAATATTTGAAGAATATTCTATCTGATAGTTTCACTTTATGTATGCAGCGAGTTGATCAGGAGATTGAACTGTTGAAGCACAGATACAGTCAAAGTAGCAGCAGATCCAACACCCCATCATCTCTTGTCAGTGATGTCATATCTGCCCACGATAGTTACACTTCTTCTAGGTAAGTCATGATCAGTTTGGAATAATCATGTTTTAAATGTACATGTTGTAGAAAATGTGAGAAAGAAGTCACTTTCTGTCACTTTACCAAACTGTAAATAAAATGTTTTTGAGGAAATATAGTCAAAATAATTAGATGTCACATTTAGAAATCTTTCCATTCTGGTTCTCTCCAGTTATTTTTTATACAGTACTTGGATATGGGAATGATTGAAATGATTTTTATTTTTGTTTTGTCTTTCAGGTTGAGTGCCCTGTCTCCTGTGCAATCTAGACCCTTATCACACATAGGTGGCACTGGTAGTCAGCGAAGTTCAGTTGAATGTGGTCATTCAAGGGGACATAGACTTAATAGGGATTACTCTAGGTCATCCAGAGTGCCTCCTGCAACATCAAGCTCAGTGCTACCATCTAGTGGAAACACTAGCACCACCAGAGGGCGTTTTAGTCAAAACTGGAAAGATATTGACTTGTTTCTTGGAAGAAAAACAACCCAAGATCAACCAAACAGAGGAAAAACTGTCTTGGAATTAGATAAAGAAATCGACAAAGACATTGAGAGAATGTTAGGTGAAACTATACCAGGGCAACATAGTAACATTGATAGACTCCTGGGAAGGACAGTGTCTTCTTTGAAACAATCAGATAATGCGTCACGATCTACAGCTGCAAGTGGCTCACAGTATGGTGCTATTGGGGGTTCAAACTATGCCACAACCAGTGCTTCATACAGTTATAAGAATTTACCTTCCAATTACATCAAATCAGGGTCTATATTTGATGGTCAAAGTACAACATCAAGTGCCACCTCTGCAAAGTATGATATACCTGGGTCTAACATATCCACACAATCAAGATATGAACCAAAAGTGTATGATCAAACATCTCCATCCACCAAATATGGATTCACCTCTAGTAAGTCCAAATATGACTCCAGCCCAAGCCGTTCTGATTATCACAGACCTAATTATATCTCAAATCCATCTGAGTTTGAACAGATGAGACCGAAGTATGACTCTACTCCAATCACACATGATTCAAGAACATCTAGATATGAATCAAGTCCAGAAAGATATTACTCAAACCAAAGTAGATGTGGCTCAAACACATCAAGAACATATGACCTGAACCAGTCCAGGCAAGTGTCAAGCCCATCAAGATATGACTCAAAACCAAAGGGACATGATTTAAATATTTCTGGATATGACTCAAGTACAACGAGATATGACTCAGCATCCACTAGATATGACTCTAATGGTAGCAGATATGAACACTCCCCTCTACGTAGTGTTAATTGCGGATCCAGGCCATTATCTGGATCAAGCTCTAGTACAGCATATGAAGCTCTACAAGCCAGGCGCAGTAATTATGACAACCCAACCCGACATGGAAGCTACATCTCAGATGTACACAACTATACACCTGCTGACACTCAAAGTGTCATCTCTGATGTCACATCTGGTCATAGTAGTGTCATATCTGATGTCCATGTAAGTGAAGCTTCAGGGAGCCCCAATCATAAAGAGCTTATCTCAGATGTACATAATGAGACAAAGTATAATGCTTATAAACCCATAAGTGCATCTGAAATCAAGGCAAGAATTGTGAAGAAACGAAAGGCTGAACAAACCAAAAAGTGACACAATAATATATATGGATATATTTATATTATATATAACTATATATACATGTATAATAAAATAATCCGAAATAAAGGCAGAGAATAGTTCTATAAATCTGTTCTATATATATATTGATATATTCTGTTGTAAAACACAGAATGAAATCCTGTGCTAAGCGATGTTGTAAAAAAGTCAGTTATTAATGTATTACCACTGAACAGGACTGCCTGGTTTTTCTACATCAATACTTCATATATAGAATTACTGCCATGACTATTTATAATATTAATAAATCAAAGTATACTTTCTAATTAAAGCAACATATCAAAAGAATATGAGGTCATTCTGATCTTAGTCAAATTACATGTATAAGAAACCAAATGTAATATAGAACATTTCAGGAAAGTATTCTGAGTTTACAGAAGTAGTAGTTTTAAACATGTAGAAATATTTTACTTATTATTTTGTTATTACTTAGTCAGAAAGTGATCCCTCCAAGCTGTTTTATTTATTTATTTATTATTTATCATCTAAATGTGTACCCATGCTTCCCCATAGTTAATTTGTTTATACAAATATACCAGAGTATTTTGTGTGAAAGGATATTATTATGTGATCACATCATAATGTGATCACATAATAACAATAATGTAACATTTTTGTTTTGTAGAATGTTTTCATATACATAACATGTGAATTAATGTCATCTGATGGATTAATTCTACTAACAGGTGAAATATGTGTGAATTATAATTACTCTAGCTTATGATTTATAGTGGTTAACCCCATTATAAGTATATGATAGCGCAGGATAATTTTTGACAGTGTATTGTGCATGATTTTGATAATATATTTATCTTAGTTTAAGTATATGTACAGGGTGAGCTAAAGAAAACGTTCATATTTTTTAATTATTGATAACTTTTTTTTAATAATGCATAATAAGTATTTATGCTGGAGATGCAGGAATCAAATCTGCAATAGACTAGATGCAAGTAGAAATAATCTTGATTTATGTCATTAAATATTCAAAATTCAGTCAAAGTGATGTCATATTTGAAATCTACATTGAAAAGTACATCTAGAAATATGGTTTAGAAAATTGTTTATCAACTTTGAAAATTCAATTTTTTTGAAAATGTGACTTCTAGTTCGGGTTGATCCCCATAGACCTGTAGACCCCATGTTACAAAATCACAAAAAGTGAAATATCTTTTCTTGTATTGGACAGATAACATTTTCTTTTACTGGACTTATTTTAATTTGCATAACTATTAGATACATAAGGGTGATTTGAAAATTGTACCACTAAAACATCTGTGATTTAAGTCAAAGGGAACTTTCTACCATCTTTCCATATCCGCCATCCTATCTGACCCGTGCAGCCACCTGGTGTTGAAACTGGTAACTACCTACTCGCATCTGCATTATTGTTTCTCAAGTGGGATGAATGGATTTCCAGTGGTTTCTATAAAAGAATTAACAGATAATAGATTGGTGGTCTGGAAAAAAACTACTAAGATTTATTTATCCCATTTCAGGAACAATCACAAAATTGATTCCTGCATTCCCTGTAGAAATCTTATTGAAATACATACATTTTAAAAAAATTGTATCAAGATATATAATGTATATTGAGATTTTCTTGGTCCACCCTATAGATACCAGGCAAGCAATATTTATCATTTATTTAATCATATTGTAATTATATTGTACAGAACATAAAAATGCTCTCATTTCAAAGATATTTTTATATATTGATAATAATTTGTACAGCTTGTAAATATTGCTATTTTGATATTAAAACCATGAAGTCAAAATCTTGTATATTTATATAAGCCTAGAATACCATATGCCATGAACGATAAGCTCAAGTGTTAAATTCAATTTCTGATTAAAGTTGCAAACCAACCTTACCATTCATGTAACCAATGCATGTTGTTGAAAAATCATAGTACATATAAGAGGTTAAGTTTGGTCTACATCTTTACATATATGGGGTGAGCCAAAAAGGCAACCCAATTATATCTTAATAGCTCAGTCATCTAGTATGGGTTTAAAGTCATATTTGGCACAGTTGAATTTTTATCAATGTTCTGTCCCTCATTGATTCTGTTCCAAATGGTCACGATTTTATGGCCATTTCACAAAACATGCTCAACATCCTGGTCTTGTTTTTGGAGACAAACTTGAACGCAACAGGCGAAGTTTTCTAATTACACGCTCACAAATATCTTGTGTAATGGCACTCATTTGCCTTCTAATCTCTTTTTTCAACTCTATGATGCTTCTGGGGTTGTTAATGTAGACATTATCTTGAAAATAGCCCCAAATACAAAATCAAAATTCCAGGGTTTCATATTGGGTGATTTTGGCATTTGGAGTATGTTTAGTAAAATGGCCATAAAATCATGACCATTGGACATGGACTAATGATACTTAGTAGAATGAAAGAACATTTAAACAAGGTTTGATTGTGCTAAATATGACACCCATACTGGATAATTGAGTTATTAAGATTTGTTTGGGTTTCCTACTTTGCTCACCCTGTATAACCCAAGGATATTTGCACTCCACGTTAATCATTTAATAGACAATTTGATTATTTGCAACTTGGTAAGAAGCTATGGTCAAGATAATATCAAACGACAATTTGTTTTTGGAAAACATTACATTTTATTAAAGAAAATATTTATACAACTAGTATTGTGAGATTTTATGACAATAATATTGATGAGATATAATAAGTAAACCCTGTACTGTTTTGTTACTGTTACAGATATTAAATCTGGATGTGTTGTGGTAGCCAGCCAGCCTTTACAGTTAACCTATGTAGGAACATTATTATTTGAATAGGACACACTTTGCTTTCCAATTGATGATGTTCTATTAATTCATTTTTTACATAATATCATATTAAAAACTCCTCAAATTGTGAACACTTCCTATATCATCTTACCCACATTCACTTCAAACAAGTATTAGTGAAAGGCTGTCTATGTTAAGTATTATTAGTCATAATAGTAAAGTATGAATCCGAAAGTATTTTGCCCCCCCCCCCCATTTAAATGTGATGACATACACCCCCAAAATGCAATCTGATTTTCGACGCCGTTTCGGTGCCAAATTTCGGTGCCGTTTCGGCTCCAAATGGACTGACTAGTCTGGTAGCAAATTTTGGTGTCGAAAGGTTTCGGTGCCGGAACGGTGTCGAAACGGTGCCGGATTGGTGCCGAATTTGTTCGATGCAGAAACGGTGTCAAATTATATTGGCTGTGTATTGTTATGGTCTCCATTTTTTATGACGTTGGTTGTGGTTGGCAATCAGTGTTTGGTTGTTGGCATCTGTAACAAATTCTTACATCTTTCAATAACTTAACAAAAATAGAAATCCAATGGTACAGTTCCAAGCAGATTTTGAGTTAACAGGAAAGTAAATCTTTAGTATACACCTTATTGTGTTGTTTTGGAACATTATTATTGCAACCCAAAAAGGAGTGTATTAAAGATTACTATTACTAGGGATTAAGGAATGTGTAGTTTACACAATTTGAGAAATCATTGGCATACATGAAACCTATTCAAAAGCGTTGATTATCAATGATTCCCAGCCTTTAGAAGTTTGAAAAATGAAAATACCTGGGTGTTAATCCATAGATAGTCTTTGAAAATGAGAAATATTTTTTGAGATTATACGGTGCAATCTTATAATCAATAAAATGTTTTGAAGTGTATTGATGTTTTTTGATGAAAAACATAAGCGTAATGTGTAAAAAAAACTCCCACGATTTATTTGACAAACAACTCCCCCTCCTCAAAGTTCTCAAATTTGACTATAGATTTGAGATTTGACCCTCAATGACCTTCTCAAGGTTAAAAAAGATTTGACCTTCAATGACATTCTCAAGGTTAAAAAAGATTTGACCTTTGATGACCTTCTTGAAGGAATAATCACAATTATGGTATTGTTTTTCTGATTCTTGCCTTGGAAGATTTTAAATGGCTGCCTAAAGCAGGAATTCACTATCATATATATCTCTTCAAAGTATGGTTAAATTACGCTACATTAGACTTCAGCCTTTGGAACTCCAAAATGGTCATCGAAATGCTTCAATTGGTGGAAATTCTGATATATCTCCAGTCTCTGTCTTTTATTATCTACAAACCAAGGGTAGAGTAGATGGTAAATACTACATTTTGATACAGTATATACAGATTTGTGCATAAATGTTCGTTGGGATTTGCTACTTCGTGGAGTTGCCAATATCTGGTTGAATTAAATTTTAAGAGAATTTATTTCATTTTCAACTGAAAATTGTGCTATAAATTCCAGGTCCCTATTTATTTCCAAAAGTCCTTTGTTTTCAATTCATGTGTTGTTTAATGATACATGTATGATATGGTCAAGTTGAAATATGTTACAAATGTGGTATGGTACAAATGTTGCGATGTGTTACAATCCCATGGGTGCAGCATACAGTTTGATTTGTTGCCACTTATGTTGGTATTCTTCCAAAGACTAATAACAATAATAGATCATTAAATTTTGGTAGCCAGCACTGCCAATCAGTGACAGTGGTGTCCAGTGATGTTCATGAAACAGTGCTGTTCATGAACCAGTGCTGTTCTTGAACTGGTGCTGTGCATTGTTGCAGTCAATCATTTCTGTTAGAACAGCATTGTACAGTTCTCTTTTGGTTATACTTTAGCATACAATCATAGGGATTCTAAGGATGAATATAAAAATGTAGATGGGTGGCACAGTTTCATCTATGACGTTGACTTGAATCGTTCGTGTCCTTCACTTTCAGGAATGTCCTCCTCCACTGTGGTTGTGGTTGCAGCTTGGTCTTGGAGGAGGACTCTCAGAGTCTCAAAGTCATCAGGTTCTATGAGATCTATGGGGCGTTCACCCTCATCTGTCAAGAGATTCCGATCTGCTCCCCTCTTTAATAGATACCTGAAACCAGAAATTAATACATTGGTTAATAATGTAAATCAAGTGTCAAACAATTAGTATACAGGGTGTATAAAAAACGCAACAAGTAGTTATCTCGTAACATCACAAAACTAGTGATGACTACATCAATTTCATTCAATGTACCTTAAAGCCACGTCTCTCCTCTTTGCAATGATATGTCATAACCCACAGATGACTCCAGGCTGAACCATGCATGACATGGACAGATGAAGTGGTGGCAGTTTGGAGGGGTTATAGGATGTATTCTTGCAAGA